GTGGTGATACTGTCTCACCACTAGCTAATCAGTGCTGCTAGGACCATGAGAAGAATCACAGGTGAAATCTTGTACTGGGCTTTGTTTGGGGATGCTTAAAACTCATGTTTCCTGGTTTTGGAGAGCTGGCAGAGTCCCGCAAACCAAGTGTCTGAAGCATGTGTTTATTCACGTTCAGAGCACATCTTGCCATCTGTTCTCCTTCATATAGTCAGGCAGCAACACAAATCCTGGGGCCAAGAGCTCCCTCTAGGAGTCAGAATGAAATTGCCTGCATCCTGCTCTATTTGTTTGTTTGTTTTTAATATATATATTTTTATTGATTTCCAAGAGGAAAGGAGAGGGAGAGAGAAATAGAAACATCAGGGATGAGAGAGAATCATTAATTGGCTGCTGCCTGCATACCCCACACTGGGAATTGAGCCCACAGCCTGGGCATGAGCCCTGACTGGAGATCGAACCATGATCTCCTGGTTTATAGGCTGACGCTCAACCACTGAGCCACTCAGGCCAGGCTGCTTTATTTTTTTGTTTGTTTTTCATTTAAGTAAGTTATTTTGAAAGAATTTAGGATTTACAGATAAATTGAGTATACAGGAGGGAGTTCCCATCGAACTTATCCCAACTTTCACTTGTTATGAACATCCTATATTAGTTGTACCAACTCAGTAATGAACCAACATTGATATGTTGTTATTAACTATAGTTCATAGCTTTTTTGAATTCTTCATTTTGCCCCTAGTGTTTTTTATCTGTTTCAGGCTTTTGTTGTTCTTTTGCCTACAACAAATTGGACATTTTAAAAAAGTTTATTATTTCTCAAAAGGCAATACGTTGACATGAGTCAGAATAGAAAATTGTAGAAGAGTGTCCAGGGAAAGTCTTTCTCCCATCCCTGACCTCTGGCTTCAGGTTTCCCCCACTGGAAGCAAGTTAACTTCCTGATGAATCGGACCAGATGCTCTCTCCACATAGGAACAGATCTGTGTTCTTCAGTATATATTGGTGTAAATGGGTGTCCATTTATTTATTCCATGTTTTATATAAGCGGTAGCATTCCTTGCCTTGCTTTTCTCAATAGGATTGTTCCACATTGTGGGATAAAAGCTTTCTTATTCCTTTTTCATGGCTGTATAGTATCCCACCGTGTAGGTGAACTCCAAAATTTGAAATCAGTGTCATGTCGACAACCATGTAGGTGTTTCCATCTTTCAACAGACAGAACAGTGCTGCAGTTGGGACTTGAACTGGCTGCATTCATAGGTATGAGTCCACCTAACAGCCTTGTGATCCCTCCTACAGGCTGGCTGCTGGCTCTACGAGGTTCTGTGCAGGCATCATAAGCACTGCCAGGCACTCGGGCATTGAGCAGAAGATGGCAGACTATTCAAACAAACTGTACCAGCAGCTAGAGCAAGAAACAGGGATCCAAACAGGTAAGCAGGGGTCTGCCATTTTCTGCTGTGCCCGTCCCCAGACTCTGTTCCTGGGACTGTGTGTGGTCCCCAGGAGCTGGCCTGGTGAGTGGTCATTCAGACCTGAGTTGTAGTTTGGGCTCTGCCACTAGTCAGAGTTTTACTTTGGGCAAGTCATTTTGCTTTTGAGCCGTCTTTGTTTCCCTATTTTTATTTTTAAAAAATATGCTCTTGTTCATTTCAGAGAGGAAAGGAGAGGCAGAAAGAGAGGGTGAGAAAGAAACATCAATGATGAGAGAGAATCATCAATGGGCTGCCTCCTGCATGCCCCCTACTGGGGATTGAACCCACCACCTGGGCATGTGCCCAAACCCGGAATTGAACCTTGACCTCCTGGTTCATGGGTTGAATGATCAACCACTGAGCCACACCAGCCAAACTTTGTTTTCCTGTTTTTAAAATGAGATTCAGTCATCATTCCAGATCCTTTTCAGATGCTATAATTCTTGTGATATTAAGGTTTTCCTGGGCCATTTCCTATATATTTCACTTGAAGTGTAGTAAGTGGCAGCATTGGCTCCACAGGAGGAGGAGGAGGAATTTAAGTTAGGTGCTTGGAAGCTAAATCAGAGTTTGACCCATTGTAGTACCCGTCATTAGTAAGGATGTTCCTGACTCTACAGCATTCACACGTTTCTCCTTACCTGTGTAATTTGGGGAGAAGGACTAGCTAGCTAGCTCTGGAGTGAGTAGGAACTGTCCCAGGAAGAGGAGGACCCATCTACACGATGGTCTCATACGATCGAAGGCAGAAAGAATGGCTGTCAGTTGGTTGTAAGGTGACGGATTAGCAGAAGTCCAGCCTGGAGCCTGCTCTGGTGGCTGATGAGAATGTGGTGAGCACACTAATCATCGTGAGTGGGTAGCGAGGCCCAGTGATGAAATTCCAGACACTTGCCTATGTCAGGGTCATTCTTTTGAGGACATTGCATAAAATGAATCAGATAATTCGAGACTAATTCTGACAGAGGGTGGTAGCTTTATCTTTTGCCAGCTGCAGTGGCTCTGCCATGTGATCAGTAGCAGACTATTCAAACAATAGCCTAAGCACAGTGTGTGGTTTACCTCGCCAGCCCTTTTAGAAATCATGTGACCGCTGACAACATTTTCATTAGGGAAAGGGAGATTTGAAATTTTGATCACAAGTAAGGGTTTATCACATTTCCATTTTATATAGTTCATAGTGTCAAGAAGTGTAACTTTCTTTGTAAATTGTAGAGGAAGACTGATTGTCTAGTAACTAGGATTTGATAGCCGTGGAAGGAGAGAGATGCCACGAGAGGATCCAGGGGCCTGGAAGAAGAGGCTGTGTATTCTCGGGCACATGGCAGGGCCAGGCCTGGGTGAGACCAGTATGCATCCTGGGGGACCCTGCAGTCAGCGCTGAGTGGGTGCCCCTCACGCGGTGTGCCCCGGGCGCCTTGACCCCATGGTGTCATGGTGTCATTGCACTTGGCCAGGCCTCCTGTTAAAGGGCCGGGCTCTCCAGTGAACATGGTAAAAATGCTTCCTGCTCCCGCACAGTCTCTGGCTTTTACTAGAGAAGATGCTGCTACAGACAGGACAGGCAGGAAGCAGTCCCTTCGCTGGGTTTAATGATGACAACAGGTACTTGAATCAGACATTAACTGGGTTTGAGTCAGAATAGGGTCCACATAATGGGCTCCTGTTCCATTGGGCCAGATACTAGTGCATTGCCCGGCCTTGCATCACTCAGGTGGTGCGATTCCACAGGAATCAGGGTTACAGGTTCTTTTCTGTAAAGTGAGTGAGCTTAGCTTGCTTTCTGGATCACCATCTGGAACCTTACAGGTGCGACTTCTCCTTGGTACTTGTGGGCAGTGAGGAAGCCAGGCAAGTGAGAGAAGAGGATCAGCCTCAGTCCCACATCCGTGGTCGTTCACCAGTGGTGCAGGGAAAGGTGACGGGGCCCCGAGGAGGAGAAGTGCAGGTGCCTGCCATCGTCACTTCACTCATGGACTGCTGGTGGGTCATGAAATAAGGATGAAGTGACATACGTGCACCTAGATTTAAGGGGAGATATTATCTGCTTCTCCTCTGAAAACAGTCCATTTACTCGAGATGTTTGTTCACTACCCGATAATCAGACCAGCAGATGACCCCGAGTCCTCATCCCCGACTGTGATGTTAGTGTCGGCAGTGCTTCACTCTCAGTGTGACTTTTGTCAAGTAAATGAGAGGTACCGTAATGGCTTTTATAATCTTTGGAAAGTATTCCATATAGTCCTTGATCTTATAATAAGGGTCATTCTTTTACAGCTGAAGAAACCTAGATTCAGGGAGTTGAATTGTTTTTCCAAGTCAGTGATCATTCATTTATTAAAAATTATTTAGTGGGATAAAAGGAACATATATACAGTGGTACTCTGCTCTACATAATCTATGGTAGTGAGTAGAACATGACTTCTGAACCTTTTTCTGAAATTCAGGCTGTGTTAGCCACAAGTCATTGGACTACTCTGGTAAGCCTGTATTTAAACACCAATCTCTGAAATTTCAGTTCTCCACACTGAGACATTCTTTTGTCAGTGAAGGGTATATTTATATGATGATTTCTAAAGAAACTAAGAAAACAAATTATTCTCATTAATACTTCCTTTGAAAGGATAACTGATTCAACTCTTTCTTCATAAGAACTAAGAGATGGCATTTTAGGGGACTTGAAATTGACCCAGATGTAATAAGGTGGTGTCTGGTATGTTGATTTCAAATAACAGAAAATGACTCTGGCTGCAGTGGGCACACGAGTTTGTGGAAGGCTGTTGGGTGACTATAGATTTGTCAGGAGGTTGCCAGAGGCAGCGTGGAGTCCAGGACACGAGTCCCCACAGCCGGCAGGGAGCCATCTGGCCTGGATGCTCTGCATCCGAGATGAGTGACCTCCAGCCATTCACCTACTTGCTCAAGACCGAATATTCCAGGGGGTTACATGCCCCCCAACTCCGGGGAGAAAATCTAACAGAGTGAAGAATATGAGTCTGGGTTATCTCCACCTGCCCCCCAAGTATTTTTTAGCCGTGGCATCTTTCATTTTTATTTTATGAGTGATTTCATGTGCATTAAAATCTCATTTCATCTTCACAAAACTCTGAGCCAAGGATGTTTGGCAGTGCCAGGACTCACCACAGGTCTTCTCACTTATAACCCCGGGGGCTTGCCTCTTTGCCACCCCACGTTTGTCCTGGGCGGTCTCAGTCCGGCTGATTGTTCTTACAGGTTACATACGGACAGGCTCCATCTTTCTGGCCCAGACGCAGGACCGGCTGATCTCCCTGAAGCGCATCAACTCCAGGCTGAAGTACGTGTGAGGCTAGAAGCCTGTGCTGGCTGTACTGCCCCCGTCCTCTGTCAGAGGCCAGTGACGTCATTGTCCCCTTTGTTCCGTGGCAGTGTGATAGGCATCCCTTCTGAGATCATCTCCCCCAAGAAAGTGGCCGAGCTGCACCCTCTGCTCAACGTGCATGACCTGGCGGGGGCCATGCACGTCCCCGAGGACGCGGTGGTGTCCTCTGCTGACGTGGCTCTTGCCCTGGCAAGTGCTGCCTCCCAAAATGGTAAGCAGACTGGGGACAAGGGAGGAAGAGGTTGTCGAAGAAATTGTCTCACAGTAGGCAACGACACCAACTCAACTACTGTGTTGTACACTGGCTCTTTTATTTTTAAATATATTTTTATTGATTTCAGAGAGGAAGGGAGAGGGAGAGAGAGATAGAAACATCAATGATGAGAGAGAATCATTGACCGGCTGCCTCCTGCACGCCCCACACTGGGGGCCGAGCCCACAACCCAGGCCTGTGTCCTGACTGAGAATAGAACCACGACCTCCTGGTTCAAGGTCGACGCTCAACCACTGAGCAATGCCAGCTGGGCTACACTGGCTCTTTTTGTTTTAATACACTATCTGTTACTATTTTTCCTCGGGGCCACATTTTTCTTATTGAAGTCCTGAGGAACCCTGGTTTAGTGCTGACTTAGTACCCTTCAGACTTCAGGGACTCCTTCCCCACCAAACTGAGAGGCTCCAAGATTAGTACACATGTTGGGATTTAATCCACAGCTTGGACCATGTCCCGGGTTTGAGTGAACGATGGGGGAACACCTCAGTGTCCATGGTGTTGTGCACTTTGAGTGAACTGATTCATCACGTGGGTAGATAGGATGTAAGCTGTCCTATTTGAACTTTTCTCCCCTGGCCCTTTTATGATTCCTGGAATTGAATTGTGCACTAAAGTCCCTTATTGAATTTGCCTGCCATTTTTAACCTTGGGAAAGTCTCATTTACAGTCTCAGGGTGTGGTCCTTAGGGGTGTTTTGTTTTTTAAAATTAAAGCTTTGACCTGGCCTTTTCAGTATTTCTTATGAATTGAGAATCTGCTGCAGCTGCCTTAATTGTGGACCATCTGAGGATCGATGCCCAACTCTTTCTTTACCTTGAACAGGTGTTCAGATCTATGACCGGACAAGTGTTGTTCACGTGTTGATCAAAAAAGGTGAAGTTACTGGCGTGGAGACAGATAAAGGACAGATCGAATGCCAGTATTTTGTCAACTGTGCTGGTCAGGTAAGTTAGCAACAATAGCGGGATCTCTGGTTTTCTTATTTACCTTTTATTTCCGGGACTTTTTGGTGTAGATACTTAAGATTATTTAGGGAAAAAGTAAAGGGATGCAGGGGACACACTGAGGGCTGGAACTCGGGGCTCTTGTGCTCCAACTCAGAAACCTGCACTGCTCCCCTGTGGAGCTGCGGTGCCTCCTCCTCCTCCCTGGTGAGCTGGTGCTCCCCTGTCCGGGCCCTGGAAGCACTGTGCGTTGACATAAATCCCTGGCATTGGATCTCCCTGTGGTGGTTTGTTTCATTCAGCAACCCAGCAGGTAAAGTATTAGGCTGTTCTGTTGTGTCAGGAGCATAGACTCAGTTTCCAGAACACTAAGCTGCTTGTGCTTCGAAGACAAATTGGTCCTTTCTGTCCGCTCTACAGTTTAAGGTGACCTAGGGGTACTTCCCGTTCTGTGAAGCTCATTTATGATGGTACTTGGGGTTTGTCTTGAAGCCAGGCATTTCGTTAGAAGGCCTCCTTTGCTCCCCATGAGCTCCTTTTACTATGGGAAATCTGCCGCCTTTTGATCTAAAAGTAAGTTTTATGACTTAAAACGTCTAGTGTTGTTCCCCATTCAAATAATTAACCTAAAGCAGGCTGAGTCTTGGCTTCCCTCACTGACATTGTTGCAAGAGCACACACAGGCCACTTGAAATTAAACTCTTTTCAAGCGGCTGAACTTGCTCATGTGTCTTTCTGTTCCTCTTCCACCCACAATCAATCTGTCCATTTGTAGTGGGCATACGAGCTGGGTCTGTCCAACGAGGAGCCGATTAGTATCCCGTTACATGCCTGCGAACACTTCTACCTCCTGACTCGCCCCTTGGAGACCCCTCTGCAGAGCAACACACCAAGTGAGGACCTGCACTTTGTTTTTAATCTTGTTTCCTTGCCACTGTTCTGTCCTTTGAAGGAAGACTCTCTGCGAAGGACAGACTGTGTCCGAAAGAGCTTTTCCTTTCTAGAGCATGTTACAGGGAGGTGGCCCAGTTCTGACTTTTCTTCAAGAACTCTTTATGAAAGGATGGTCAGACGGGCATTCTACTTAAGCAGTTTTTCTGCAAGCTAATTGTAGTCCCAGACAGAGGTCTAAATTGACAGTATTTGGAATATAGCCTGGAGTTTTTGACCTGAATGCTATAAACTCAGGGTATTCTGTGGCCCCGAGTGCTGTGGAGAGGGCTGATTTCACGTGGAAGGTCTGAATCCCCGCAGCGGGCTTGGCAGTGCCCCCTTTCCTTAGGCTTTACCTGGCACAGTGGCAGTTACATAGTTTGGTTGTGAGGACTAGTCAAAGCTTCTACGTAACTGATGGGGTAAAGGGTAATCAGAGTAAGTCTCCATTGTGAATCTGCGAGGGGAAACCTCCCGGATGGCCTGGAAAGGTATTTTAAAGCTGATGAGTTCATGAGACGCTGTTCATTAGCAAAGCCAACAGCGAGCTTTGCTTTTTTCTGTCCATTTAGAAAGCTGGCTTACATCTAACCCCTGCTCTTCTCTTCCACTCCCCACTCCCTTATTGTTCCTCTCCTCAGATATTGTGGACGCAGATGGCAGAATTTATATTCGCAACTGGCAGGGCGGCATCTTGTCTGGGGGCTTTGAGAAAACCCCAAAACCAATTTTCACTGAGGGCAAGAACCAGCTGGAGATTCACAACCTACAGGAAGACTGGGACCACTTTGGTGTGTGAACTGTATCTATAATAATAAAAGTGTAATATGCTAATTAGACCGGACAGCCGAATGACCTTCTGGACGTCCTTCTGGATGAAGCCGCTGTGGCAGGCAGAGGGTTAGGTGTGATCAGACAGGCAGGCAAGTGGTTAGGGGCAGTCAGGCAGGCAGAGGGTTAGGTGTGATCAGACAGGCAGGCAAGTGGTTAGGGGCAGTCAGGCAGGCCAGCGGTTAGGAGCCAGCAGTTCCAGCAGTCAGACATCCCCTGAGGGGGCCCGGATTGCAAGAGGGTACAGGCCAGGCTGAGGGCCCCCCCCCGGTCCATGAATTTCGTGCACCGGGCCTCTAGTAGTAATAATAATGCTCTGTACTTATCTAAAATGTTATATTTAAAGTATTTTCAAGAACAGCATCTCACTTGATCTTTGTAACAGCCCCGTGTGGAGGTTAGAGAGGGGAGGCTACAGAGTTTGCTGGGTCTCAGGACAGTTACTCGGTAGCAAATTCAGGAGACTATTCTTGGTTAGTGGACTTTGGCTTATTACTTATTCACCTAAAATGGCTGCTGAAATTTTAAGCTAGGAGGAAACCTTTTCTTAGGATTTCATAGAAGATTAAAGACATTTTTAGAAAGCAGAATTATTTTGTTAATGTCCTTTACTCAACTTTAAAATACTTTTAATTTTATTTATTGAATAGTTAATATATTCACATGGTTCCAAATATAAAAGATATGAAAGGATCTATAATGAAGTTTCCTTTCTAGCCTTAATGGATTTTTTTAAAGTAAACTTTTTATGGTAGAAAATTTCAAGCCCCATCTACCTACCAGCCAGCTCCACAGTCTGGTGTCGTTGGTGACCACTGCCCCACTGGCCTACTCCCAGATGATGGACTCACCTTTAAACAGGTTGAGCATCTGTCCTTGCAGCCATGCCAGCGTAGGGAACCTGCCCTTCATTGCATCTCCCTCGGGCGCCCTGAGAGAGCTTTAGCACCGAGCCCTTCGAGACCCTTATCTGTAACGTGCTTGCTCTTCCATAGCTCCTCTCCTTCCCAGAGCATCTTCTTTGTCAGTCTGCATGCCAAGCACCTCGTAGGTGTGTTCCCTAATTCCAGCAAGGGCTCTGCTCTCTGATAGATGGCCCCTTTGCTGTTCTTAGAAAACCTCTTCCAAAAGATTTTATGAAAGGAGAGGGAGGAGTTAGGAAGTATGAGGAGTTGGAAGGTTTGAATTTCCTGAAGCTGAGGACTCTGTTTGGCTGTTTTTATTGCTCAGAGCCCCTGTTGAGCTCCCTCCTGCGTAGGATGCCAGACCTAGAGACACTGGAGATCATGAAGTTGGTCAATTGCCCTGAGACCTTCACACCAGACATGAGGTGCATCATGGGCGAGTCTCCTGCGGTTAAGGGCTACTTTGTCCTGGCAGGAATGAACTCTGCTGGCCTTTCGTTTGGTGGAGGAGCTGGAAGGTAAGTCTTTGTCACTCACACTCAGCTTGCTGGGCTTCTTTCTTTCTAGAATGATTTGTTAAATGGCAAATAATATATTTAATCTGGTATGTTATTATAGGAAGATACATGTAATTTTAAAGCCCCTTCAAAGTAATTACCATGGAAGGCTCTCCTGATGTTCCTGAAATGTGCAGAATGTCTTTGGAACCCCAATTTTGGAGTTAGTCACTAAGCCTGTGGGATGGGATTCTTGTGTACTCTTTCAGTGTAACAAATGTGGGTTCTTTGTGTATTTAAATTTGGGAACATCCAAGTGTGGTGAGTGAGATAAATGATCATGCTGAGTATCACTAGTTTTATTGAATTGATACTAATAAAAATTTAACAAGCTGGTCATGAAAGGACAGATACTCTGCGAGGTACTTAGAGTAGTCTAATTCATAATGGATGGTACAGACAGTAAAATGCTGGTTGCCAGGGGCTGGGGCAGGGAATGGAGAGTGATTGGTTAATAAAGAGTTTTAGTTTGGGAAGATGGAAGGTGGTGAAAGTTACACAATAATGTGAATGTCGGATGCCACTGAACTAGTATACGGTATACTTGAAAGTGGTTAAGATGGTCAGCTTATGTTATGTGTAATCACAATTTAAAAACTTGTAAAAAAATTAATGAGGCCATTTTTCTTGAGTGACTTGTAGAATGGCTCTGAAAACAGTTATGGAAGTGGAGTTATAAAAACCTTTGGAGCAGAGATGTGTTCAGATAACTATAACCTGTTTTACAGAGACAAAAATAAACACACAGATGTATAAATTACAGTACATCTGTATACCTTTCAGTCTTACTTCTTCCTAGATGTGCCCGTGTCTTAAACACCTTCTGGGGAATCATCATTAGAGCTAAAATCCTCATAGTGGTCTTGTGAGCACAGCAGATGGATCCATGTTTGTTTCTTCCAGAAAGTTAAGGAAATTGCCCAGAATTGCTCACCCAGTCCCTGACAAGACAGGATCTTTGATCATGTTGGTTCTTTTTTTTTTTTAAATATATTTTATTGATTTTTTACAGAGAGGAAGGGAGAGAGACAGAGAGCCAGAAACATCGATGAGAGAGAAACATCGATCAGCTGCCCCCTGCACATCTCCCACCGGGGATGTGCCCGCAACCCAGGCACATGCCCTTGACCGGAATTGAACCCGGGACCCTTCAGTCCGCAGGCCGACGCTCTATCCACTGAGCCAAACCGGTTTCGGCGATCATGTTGGTTCTTGATTCCTGGTACAGTATTGAGTGTATCCCATCTGAGGCCCAACTACTGCTGCCCCTCCCCCCGCAACAGGTACCTCGCTGAGTGGATGGTGCATGGTTATCCCTCAGAAAACGTCTGGGAGCTAGACCTGAAGCGTTTCGGAGCCCTGCAGAGCAGCCGCACCTTTCTGCGCCACCGGGTCATGGAAGTCATGCGTAAGTGGAGCTTTATTCTGTCGCATCTGCTTGCAGGTGTCTTCTTGAGTGCCTCTTCTGTCATTCAGAGGGCAGGTTTTCCTCAGTTCTTCAGTAAATGCTTCAAGCTGAGCTTCTGATGTTTAATTGTTTCAGGCTTGTGTCAGGGACATGGTGTCCCTGTGATGTTTGTGGAACGTTTTCTCTCGCATCTTGTACCTGTTTACTTGGGGGCAGGACAGTGGACTGACTTTCAGGTGGTAGTTCCTACCAGTCTCGAGCAGCAGCTTCTAGTATGTTCCCAGCATTGCCTGCTTCCCACTGTGCCTGGAAAGCCGATGTCAAAGTGAGTGCTCCAGCTCCCCACTTGGTCTTTGGGATCATGATTTGCTTTCTAATGCAGTGAACTTGCCAACTTATTCTCAAAGCTTCAAGCTTCTCTGAGTGACTTCTGTCATTAATCCGTGATATTCTGGCAAGATAGAAAACCACTTCTCATGTGCATACAAAACATTTGTCCCTGCTCTTTCTCCTTGTTCTTGTTTCCCTCCAACTTTGAAGTATCCAGCTCTTTATTTTAACTTAACTAGGTACTCTTCCTTGTCTTGTATTTGTTTTCTAGCTTTTATTTAGGAATTAAACCAAATCAGGTTGTAATTTCATTTTTCTTTTTTTTAAATATACTTTTATTGATTTTTTACAGAGAGGAAGGGAGAGGGATAGAGAGTTAGAAACATCGATGAGCTGCCTCCTGCACACCCCCAACAACTGGGGATGTGCCTGCAATCCAGGTACATGCCCTTGACCAAAATTGAACCCGGAACCCTTCGGTCTGCAGGCCGACGCTCTATCCACTGAGCCAAAGCGGTTAGGGCTGTAATTTCATTTTTCTTACACTGGGGAACTATTTTCAGACTTTGCCAAAATATGTCTAAACCAGAGGCCTGGTACACAGATTCGTGCACCGGTGGGGTCTCTGAGCCTGGCCTGCACCCTCTCGCAATCCGGGACCCTTCAGGGATGTCGGAGAGCCAGTTTAAGCCTGATCCCTGCACGCCAGACCCAGGGACGTGCACCAGGCCTAGTATGCATAATAAGATCTTCAGTTAATCTCTTCCCGCTCTACCTCCTTCCCCCTTCCCTCTGAGATTCATCAGTCTGTTCCATGTTTTCATGCCTGTGGGTTGAGCGTCTGCCTCCTGGTGGTCATTGCGCGTCATAGCTACCAGCCAGTCGGGTGGTCGGCAGGTTGCTTAGGCTTTTATAAGTATACTAGAGGCCCGGTGCACAAAAATTTGTGCACTGGGGTGGGGGGTGTCCCTCAGCCGGGCCTGTGCCCTCTCACAGTCTGGGACCCCTCAGGGGATGACCACCTGCTGGCTTAGGCCCGCTCCCTGGGCCCAATCAGGCATCCCTCTGGCAGCCCGGGAACCCTTGGGGGATGTCCACTTGCCAGCGGGGAGCAGGCCTAAGCTGCAGTTGGACATCCTTAGAGCTACTGAGTAGGTGGGAGAGGCTCCTCCCACCACCACCGCTGTACTGGCAGCCGTCAGCCTGGCTTGTGGCTGAGCAGAGCTCCCCCTGTGGGAGCACACTGACCACCAGGGGGCAGCTTCTGCATTGAGCGTCTGCCCCCTGGTGGGTCAGTGTGTGTCGAGGTGACCAGTCATTCTCAGTCATTCTGCTGTTAGGGTCAGTTTGCATATTACCCTTTTATTATATAGGATACAGGCCTGGTGCATGGGTTGGGGCCAGCTGGTTTGCCCTGAAGGGTGTCCCAGATCAGGGTGGGGGTCCCGCTGGGGTGCCTGGCCAGCCTGGGTGAGGTGCTGATGGCAGGTTGCAGCTGGTCACACCCCCTTCAGGGTGGGGCGTCCCCAATGGGGTGCCTGGCCAGTCTGGGTGAGGGGCTGAGGGCCGTTTTCAGGCTGGCCAAGCCCCCTGGCAATGGAAGCTCCCAGCTTCTACTTTTTTTCTTTTTATTCTGGGATTTATTTACCTTATATAATGGAAACTTTGTAGCCTTGAGAGGAGCTCAGAGCTGGCCCGGGCGGGCGCAAGGGAAGCTTGGTTTCCTCCATTGCCAGGGGCAACACAAGCCACCGGCTCAGTCCAGCTTCATGGCCATGGCCGGCTGAAAGCAGGTATCTGGGGTTTATTTACTTTCTATAATTGAAACTTTGTTGCTTTGAGTGGAACTCAGAGCCTGCTGCAGCAGGCGGGAAGCTTGGCTTCCTCCATCATTGGGGCAACCAAGCCTCCTGCTCACTCCAGCTCCGTGACTGCTGGCCACCATCTTGGTTGGATTAATTTGCATATAGTTGCTCTGATTGGCTGGTGGGCGTGGATTAAGGCGTAGCGAAGGTACGGTCAATTTGCATGATTGTCTTTTATTAGCGTAGATGGATAGATATAGATATTTTGGACATATTTATGCTCAGGACTAAGTTTCTACATTGGCTGTGACCACTGTTCTTGATTAAGAATGAACTGCTCACCCTAGCGAGTGTGGCTCAGTTAGTTGAGCATTGTCCTGTGCACCAGAAGGTCGTCAGTTTGATTAAGGGTCAGGGCATGTGCCTGTGTTGTGGGCTTGATCCCCAGTAGGGGGTGTGCAGGAGGCAGCTGATCAATGTTTCTCTTTCACATCGATGTTTCTTTCACTCTCTCTCTCTCCCTTTTCTCTCTATCTAAAATCAATAAAAACTTTTTTAAAAAAAAAGAATGAACTGCTGGTTTAGCAGCTGGTGGTTCCATTCATCATGAGCATTTGGTGACCTTTAATGCCTGTATGACCTGTGGCAGAAAACTCATATGTGGGGGAGATTTGGGACCTGGCAGCAGTATGTGTAATTGCTAAGCTTCCTTCTTTTTAGCAAATATTTTGGTTAAAATGTTGAACTATCGTAAGTCCAGGTTTCCCATCCATAGTTACTTTAGAACCTGTGCAAATCATAACAGAGCTTGAATTTCTCCTTGATGCCATGACATGTTAGATGGCATTTTCTGATTCTCATAAAATAGAAATTACAGGCATGATAGAAAATGGGGAGAGTAGAACCTAAAATACCAGAGATGGGCAAGTTGTCACAATATAAGAAAAGCAGGGTTTTAGTTTCCTGATTTTTAGTTTCCCAACCTCCCCCAATACCCCAAGGTACCTCCTGTGTGGAATGGTGTGAGGTCAGGTCTCTTTGGAAGGGACTAGAGGTCACACTGTTTCTGGCTATTGTTACTCATTGCTGTTGCAGATTGGACATTACGAGAAATGAACTCTGACCCTAGGTTGTCACTGGGACAATACTGTGCAAGATGCCAGGTTTCAGAGCTACCAAATCAGGTGTGCTGTGTGCCCTTTCACTTCAGAAATGGCTGAGGAAAGGTCTGTGATGGGTCTGAGATCCCACAGCACAGGCCCTGTAATGTAAAGAATCAAGTGCCGTTTTTTCACACTTTGTAACCACCTGTGACCTTTGATATCTTCTTCATCTCTTCTACAGAGCTTAGCAGAGTTTAGATCTATGACCTGTCTCCCATTGTTTCTACCTATGAATTTGGAACCATAATTGCAAACAGGGATACAGAGTTGTCATGTGACTTACAGCTGTATAACTATGAAGGGGTGACACCAGCTCTTGCAGTATTTTTCTTTCTCCTGGAGCATGCCTGTTCTACTGGGTGCCGTTTGGCAAGTTGCACTACATTAGCCTGGAAAGGATGCTCTTCTGAATGGGAGCAACTCCAGAGTCTAGTGGGTAGTGTGCACGCAGCTCAGTAGCTTGGGCTTCCATGGACTGTTCTCATCTGTTCTAGCTCTGCTGTATGAGTTAAAGGTTCCTCGTTGGGACTTCCAGACAGGGAGGCAGTTACGCACATCCCCTCTCTATGACCGGCTGGACGCACAAGGAGCCAGGTGGATGGAAAAGCATGGATTCGAGAGGCCAAAGTACTTTGTGCCACCAGACAAGGGTAAAGAGGCACATTCGCATTTTTGTTCACTTTTTTGCTTTTAAGAATTAATATAATTTATTTTTAAATGTATATGGCTAGAATGGGAGAATAAATAATAAAAACCTAACTATACAGGAGACTCCCCAGTATAAATCTTCTGTTTTTCTGGTCTACAGACCTCCTGGCTTTGGAGCAGAGCAAGACATTCTATAAGCCGGACTGGTTTGACATTGTGGAGTCTGAAGTCAAGTGCTGTAAGGAAGCCGTATGTGTCATTGACATGTCCTCTTTCACAAAGTTTGAAATAACAGTAAGTAATTGGAAACCAATATAACAGACTAGGAAACGGTGCCTCCTTTTTTCATCTGTCTCTTTAAAACTGATTCTGTAAGAACTCGTATATTTTAATATATCTTTATTACATTTTTCTGAATTTTTAGCTCTGTTTCTGGTTTTTAATCTGCTTACAGAGGCCCATTTATCATTAGAATCAACAGCTAGCTTTCTCTGGTGCTTCCTACAGTGGCATAAATCTGCAAATATTGTTGCAGGAGTCCTCGCTAACTGAATTTTCGTAGCAAGTCACGTTGCTCATGAGGCCGTGTTACCAGTCAAATGTTCTTGTGCTCTCTCTGCTTTGTGTCTTAACTCTGCAGTCCACCGGAGATCAGGCATTAGAAAGTCTGCAGTACCTCTTCTCCAATGACCTTGACGTGCCCGTGGGCCACATCGTGCATACCGGCATGCTCAATGAGGGTGGAGGATATGAAAATGACTGCAGCATAGCGCGCCTGAACAAGCGCAGGTGAGGTCAGCTGCCGCGCTGGCTCCCTCCAGCACTGGTCCCCGGGTACTGCGGCAGAGCAGAGCTCCCAGCTCCCCCAGGAAACCTGAATCATACCAAGGACTGAACACCTCACTACCTCATGGCCAGTCCATTAGCAGTCCAGGACAAAAAAATCACCTGAAAGAAAAAAAACTCACCAGGTTATGCAAAACTCGATGTGAAAATTAATTACGCTACTGGGAGGAGACATCTTACTTTGTAATAGTAAGTCTGTTTGGTGACAGAAGTCAGCCTTCGCTTGTCCTTACATGGTGTATCCTCAGGTTCCGTGCTCCTGGCCCTCTGGAGGCTAAGAGCTCGTTGGCCAGTATTCTACCCACTGCTTTGACACTAGCTCAGAACTTGATTGCTTCCCGATCCTCTTCTCTGCTGCCTGGTTTTGATTGCTTGTGGGTCTCACTTTCAGTTTCTTCATGATTTCTCCAACCGACCAGCAGGTCCACAGTTGGGCCTGGCTTAAGAAGCACATGCAGCTAGACAGCAACCTGCTCCTGGAGGACGTCACCTGGAAATACACAGGTACTTCTCTCTGGGTCCCCCAGGGGAGCTGATCCAGATTTGTCAGGATTAGAAGCGGAAGAGGCTCGCTGGTTATAGAAAATTGGTCTCTGATACTTCCTGTGTTTTTTTAAAAACATTTTATTGATTTTAGAGAGGAAGGGAGAGGGAGAGAGAGAGAGAGAGAGAAACATCAATGATGAGAATCATTGATTGGCTGCCTCCTGCATACCCCCTACTGGGGATTGAGCCTGCAACCCAGGCATGTGCCGGTGGTCGGAATCGAATCTGGGACCCTTCAGTCTGCAGGCCGACGCTCCATTCTGAGCCAAACCAGCTAGGGCACTTCCTGTGTTTTTTAAGGAAAATGTGGAATGAGTTCTTCAGTTACTGTTTTGCTCACTATGTCCCCTGCAGCCAGCATGTTAGGAGTGTGAATATTTGTTGAGTGAATGAGTAAATAATTTTTATTTTCTCTTGTTTTCTAGAGTAAGTAATTTTAAAGCATTTTTATATTTATTATCTAAGTATTATTTTCCTCAAAAATTTTCCTTAGCTTTTTTTAAAATGAGTGAATAATTTTTTAAAATATGTTTTTATTGATTTCAGCGTGAGGAAGGGAGAGGGAGAGAATTTTCGATCGGCTGCCTCTTGCATGCCCCCTACTGGGGATTGAGCCTGCAACCCAGGCACGTGCCCTAACTGGGAATTGAACTCTGACCTCGTGGTTTATAGGTCGATGCTCAACTACTGAGCCACACTGGCTGGGCAATGAGTAAACAATTTTTAAGGATGACTTAAATTTCCTCATGGTCTCAGTGGTTCAGTCAGGGGAGCAGCCCGCCTCTAATGCCATTCCACCATTTTAGGTGTAATTCCTCCCTCCTCCCTTCATTCTAGCATGCCCTTTTTCTCAATTCATTGTAGCAGCAAATATTACAAACTCTTGCTACCAGATTGGCAAACTACAGAATCTTGTTGAACTAGAGTTGTTTTATGGCTGAATGAAGATAAAGTGTACTTAGCACAGGCTGCTGTCACAAACTGACAGATCCAGTGATTGGGCAGCTCTCCTCCTGGTCCTGATTTGGGATTGGGGCTTTTCCCATCACGTAGCCACACTGGGAAGATGAGGGGAATGGGAAGTATGCCGGAGAGTATGTCCAGCCAGGACTTGGTCTCACGGTCCCATCTGACTGCAAAGGAGGCTATGGAATGTTGCCTTCTTGTGTCCCTAGGAAGAGGAAACATTCCCATTAGTTCTCCTGCCAGCAGTCAGTAGCTGCATTTAGCAGGCCTGTCGGGAGAGGTGTATCTGTCAGAGTCAGGTGCACCTTGCATCGCCTAAACAAAGGGATGTTCTGTGGTCTTGCCAGCCAGGCCTGGTTATAGGTGAGCAAGTCCACAACAGACCTTTCCCATTGGCTCAGCTGTTTACCTGGAGCGGCCAGACATCGCTTGTTCTTTTTTGTTTAGCCCTCAACCTGATTGGTCCTCGAGCTGTGGATGTGCTGTCCGAGTTGTCCTATGCCCCGATAACTCCAGACCACTTCCCAAGCCTCTTTTGCAAGGTGGGTGCCAGTAAGGTTCTAGTTTTTGAATGGGCAGGGAATATCTTTTTAAGAGATGGCAATTGCATGTTCTTACTCTGCAGTAACACCCACAAAATGTGCTGACTTATTAATAAAATGACAGAATAAATTCTTTATTTTTCACCCTTCAAGTTCTCCTTATTTAAATAAGCATTAGGATATATTTGAAGTGGATTTAACTTCTCTGAATATCAGTTCTATATATTTATTGCTTTCTATAACAGCAGATTCTACGTAATAGGATAATAAAAACGCTGGTCAGGGTTAGGTCCCTTCTCTCCAGTAGCTCTTCCTCTCTCCCATGCTCTCCCAGAGGCAGAGCAGCTTCTGTGTATGTGGCATCTTCAGGTAATAAATGGCTCGCGAGCCACATGCAGCTCTTTGGCCCCTTGAGTGTGGCTATTCCACAAAATACCACGTCCAGGCACGCATGTACAGTGCGATTGAAACTTCGTGGCCCATGCACAGAAGTCAGTATTTTGTGGAAGAGCCACACTCAAGGGGCCAAAGAGCCGCATGTGGCTCGCGAGCTGCAGTTTGCCAACCACTGGTGTAGGTGAATCCCTAAACAACTTACCTAAGATTCTTTCTTATACTTGGCAACTATAGCTGAGTGAAACACATTGTAACTGAATAAAAAAGAAATAACTGCGTCCTTTCGAAGTGGTTGATTTGCGGTCCAAATGGAGAGATGTTTTTGTCAACCTGTAACAAGCAGCTTGGGGACAGTTATTGAAGGAGGCTCTTTGATGTTCAAACCAAAATTGGGATCCACCTACTAATTGATTTTAGTTTTCCTTTTCCTCCATGGCAGAGTGAAAGCCACAGAAAACTCACTGTTAGCCATTACTAACTCCTTCACAGTGTCTTTGCTTCTTTTTAAAAATTTTATTGATTTCAGAGAGGGAGGAGAGGGAGAGATAGAAATATCAATGATGAGAATCACTGATCAGCTGTCTTCTGCATGCCCCCTACTGGGGATTGAGCCAGCAACACTAGCATATGCATTTGACCGGAATCGAACCCAGGACCCTTCAGTCTGCAGGCCAACGCTCTACCCACTGAGCAAAACTGGCTAGGGTTGTCTTTGCTTTTTTTTTTTTTTAATATAGTTTATTGATTTTTTTACAGAGAGAGAGAAGGATAGTTAGAAACATAGATGAGAGAGAAACATCGATCAGCTGCCTCCTGCATACCCCTCACTGGGGATGTGCCCACAACCAAGGCACATGCCCTTGACTGGAACTGAACCCGGGATCCCTCAGTCTGCAGGCCAACACTCCATCCACTGAGCCAAACCAGTCAGGGCATGTCTTTGCTTCTTGATGAGTGATGCATCCGTGTGTGCCTGCAGAGCACCATGTGATGCCCGACTTCCTGTGGAAAGTTTGCTTTAGTGCCACCTGGGACTTAGCACTTTCCTTCACAGGAACGTTTTGAACATCAGACCCCAGGATAACAGGTGAACCTTGTTCTCTGGGCACCAGACATCATCCTTTGTGGGCAGTGCCTAGGACTGTCTTCCGAGTGCCCCGGAGGAGACTGCCTGGTCTTCATTGCTCCCTGTGCACCTAAAACAAATCTTTAGCTGGACTTTGCAAAAAGTAATGTTTCCTGTTTTCAAGACTTTGCCTCCACTTCCATCAGCAGCTTGGCTAGCACTCCTGATATTGGTGATATTCAAAGAAAAGACATTGTAAAGGCTTTGTTCCATCCCTAATGACCTGGAGACCTGAAAGCGGATCATTTTGAGGATGGAAGTCTTTCCTTCACATGTCTCTTTTAGGGTCAGACAAAGGGTGCAGAGCTAAGGAGAGGGGTTGGCCTCAGACACCATCCACTTCCCTTGGAATTTTGACGCTATCTCCCTTTGTTTCCACAGGAGATGAGTGTGGGCTATGCCAACGGGATCCGGGTGATGAGCATGACTCACACGGGAGAGCCGGGCTTCATGCTTTACATCCCCATAGAGGTGAGCACTGGCAGGGTTAGAGTCTGTTGTGCCTGGTAATTGAAGAGGCTGAGTTAAAGACATTTTAGCATGTTTAAGGTATTTACTTTTTTAAAAAATAGATATGTTCACGTGGTTTAAAAAAAAACCCCAAAATATTCAGTTCCATTTGACCAGTTTCTACTATGTGATCTTAGTTTTTTGTCATGTCAGAAATTTTTATAAATATGGAAGTTCAAAGACATATTTTTAACCCTCTTTAGACCCACAGAAGCATACTGTTCATCTTTCTTTTTTAATACATATATTTTTTATTGATTTCAGAGAGGAAGGGAGTTAGAAACATCAATGATGAGATTCATCCATCGGCTGCCTCCTGCGTGCCCCACATTGGGGATCCAGGCCACAACCTGGGCATGTGCCCTGACTAGGAATTGAACTGTGACCTCCTGGTTCATAGGTGGACGCTCAACCACTGAGGCACGCCAGCTGGGTGTTCATTTTGTTTGTTTGTTTTTTTAAATATATTTTATTGATTTTTTACAGAGAGGAAGGGAGAGAGATAGAGAGTTAGAAACATCGATAAGAGAGAAACATCCATCAGCTGCCTCCTGCACACACCCCACTGGGTATATGCCTGCAACCAAGGTACATGCCCCTGACCAGAATCGAACCTGGGACCCTTGAGTCTGCAGGCCGACGCTCTATCCACTGAGCCAAACCGGTTAGGGCCATTTTGTTTTTCTTAAGAATTTATCTTAGAGATCTTTTTCCTATGAGTACTTAAAGAGAACTTCCTTTCTTTTTTTTATAGTGGCATATTATTCCATCATAATTTACTTAACCAGCCTGGTACTAATAGACATGTATGGTGTTTCTAATCCTTTACTATTATAAAAGTTCGGCAGTGTGCAAGAGTGTGCCAACACATGGAGGTGCCAGACTCTAGGCTGATAGGTGCAAAACAGTTGGTCAGTGCAGCTTTAGTTTCCCTTGTGAGAGGCTGATGGTGGGGCAAGGAGGAGAACTCTGCTACCCTGACTCCTTCCTCTGTGACTCACTGGATCTCTACGATGTGCTGTCATCTGTGTGAAAAATCATGTTATGGGCACACGGTAGAGTGGTGTGGACCACATTTCGTTGCGTGGACCAGTGATAGGGAATTGGGCAGGTACAAAGCCAGCAGAGGGTGCGTGGGCTATTTGAGGAGCAGCTGAGCTTAGTCATTACTGGGTGCTGAGTGCGCTGCTTTGAGTTATTTAATAATTGCTATATACTAGTAAGTACTTAGGTTAGTCTCCTAGACATTTTAGAGACATGAAAAGATATGGATGCTGCTTTCATGGAGCTTATGTCTGAGTTAGGGGTGACCCTGGCATACTCCTGGGCTGTAGCACTTTGGTTTGTTGATGAGACATCCTGAGAATTTTATACAAACCTCTCCCCATCCAGATTAATAGTGTCAGCCATCAGACACGCCAGACACACTCCAGGTTGAAATCTGAAGGTCTGCTGCTTACCACCCTTTCATCTTTCCCTCAGTATGCCCTACATGTCTACAATGAAGTGATGAGTGTGGGGCAGAAATACGGGATCCGGAATGCTGGGTATTATGCTCTTCGTAGTCTCCGAATTGAGAAGTTTTTTGCCTTCTGGGGTCAGGATCTGAATACCCTCACCACCCCCCTGGAATGTGGACGAGAGTCTCGGGTGAAATTTGAGAAGGTACTGTGTCCGTGCGCACTCCTGTCACTCACCTGCCCTTGCAGGGCATCTGTGTTAGAGCAGGAAGTGGGCTGATGTGGAAGGAAAGGGTGGAAGTGCTGAGACCTCGATGATAGCGTCAGGTGAACAGTGATGATTAGGATGTCCTTAGAATGATTAGTGCGACTGTGGGATAAAACATCTTAATATGAGAACAAGAAACCGCCAGCACCTGTTTTCAGCACTTTGCTCTTTTAGACTGAGTGCTTTCTGGGGAAGTTTTTCTGAGTAGAATGTAGTGGTACATGAACATGCCATGATTATTTGTACAAATTAGTTACCTTCCATTCAACTGCCTAATTTTTAGTTTCTTTTCAAAGTAATACATGAACATGATGTTTTTAAAAAGTCATAATTGAAGAGCATGTTGTGACTTCTCTACCTCTGAACCCTACCTTTCTCACTGCCACCTTTACCAGGAGCAGTTTCTTGTCTCTCCTTTCGAATTTCAGTGTGTTGTGAACCAATGAGTGTTTATTGACGACAGCAAAAATATACTTAGGAAGGTGAGACAGGGGCATAGAAGTAACGGGAGCCTGGGCTGCCTTAGCCCAGGATGAGCTGCCGCTGCCTATTGCTCCCTTGGCTGCAAGTCTCATGGAGTCCCTCAGAGGTCAGGGGATATGTGCCGGGGAGGGGGGTTGAGGCAGGGAATGGCGCGGGTGTGCTCCCCTCACCACTTTTTCCCTTCTGTTTTTTTAATCCTCGCCCGAGGATATTTTTCCATTGATTTTTTTAGAGTGGAAGAGAGAGGGAAAGACAGAGAGAAACATCGATGTGAGGGAAGCACATCTTTGGGTTGCCTCCTGCACAAACCCTGACCAGTGCCTGGGACTGGGCCAGGAAGGAGCCTGCAACTGAGTATGTGCCCTTGAGCAGAATCAAACCCAGGACCCTTAGGTCCAAGGGCTGATGCTCTATCCACTGAGCAAAACCGGCTCGGGCCCCTGGCCACTCTTTTTAACAGTCATTCCCTACCACTATAGATCTATAGTATTCTTTTTGAGAAATTATAGATAACAATTTTTCTGATATAAAAGTAATGAATATTCATTTTGGAAAATAGAATATGTCAAGAAAACTAAAATGATTCATACTTTATTGAGTTTATTTTATCCTGCTCTTGTTTTTGTATATATGCATATATAAACATGTATGCATTGAATACAGACATATATGCATGGACTTTTTGTTGGAATTATATAAAAATGCTGTTTTTCTAAAATATTCTAGCAAGTGTTTTTGGAATATTGATTTTTCTTCCTAAATATTTTGTTCTATGTGGTCTTGTTATTGAAATCCATTTATAAAATAGGAAAAAAAATATGGGTACCTGTGTTGTTACAAAAATTCTCTGAAGGCATCTCTATGTTGTGAATGCCGTTTTTCACATGGTGGGCAGACGCAATGTCCCCAAAGCCTGCCCTGGGGACAGCCCACTGTGCTGCTCGTGAGGCTGACTCAGTGTTGCCTTCCTTCCCCAGGGGCTGGATTTCATTGGTCGAGATGCCCTGCTGCAGCAGAGGCAGCACGGGGTGTACAAACGCCTGGCTATGTTCGTCCTGGACGACCACGACACAGACCTGGACCTCTGGCCCTGGTGGGGCGAGCCCATTTACCGGAACGGGCTGTACGCTGGCAAGACCACCAGCAGTGCCTACAGCTACACCCTGGAGCGCCACGTCTGCCTGGGCTTCGTGCACAACTTCTCCGAGGACACTGGGGAAGAGCAGGTGGTGACGGCAGATTTCATCAACCGGGGCGAGTATGAGATTGACATCGCGGGACAGCGGTTCCAGGCCAAGGCCCGGCTCTACCCGGTCGCCTCCCTCTACACCCATAAGCGCCGAAAGGAAGACGTGGAGCTAAGTGACTTGCATGGGAAGTAATGCCAGACAGTCTTACCGTCTTAGGAGCCTCTGTCCTGATCCTGTCCCTCTTCTCGGTTTAACCTTTACCTTCCATTTCTTATCTCCTTGGTATCATTTTAAACTTTTTGCTTTGCAGCCTCTCTTGTCGTTTCATCTCCTCACACTCAGTCTGAGCTGTTTGTCTCATCCGTCCACCCATCTCAGATTCCCATGGGGACAGGAGCAAGCCCCACTTGTAGAAGTGTGTGTGGTGGCAGTTGGATGTCACGTGCTGTGTTGGGAAGCCAGGGAAGCTGGTGGTGTGCAGGCAGGAGTCCATCTCCGTGGGCCAGCTGTTCTCAGAGCCGCCTGCTGCCGGTGATGAGTTGCTGTGTGCTTGTTACGGCCCTGAGGCAGTTGTGCCTTCAGCCAGGCAGCTGCGTTCCTGTTCCGCTGTGCTGTGGGCTGGCACCGTGATACCTCGAGCAAGATGACCATCTACCTCACTGACGAGAGGCATCGGGTGGGCTGCAGAGATAAAGTTAAGCTGACATTATTCCCAGCCTCCCTAACAACTAGTTCTCGACCACAGGACCAGGGACACCTGCCTATAATTTCTTCATCGCTTGTTAATCTCTGTAATGAGGGGCTTTGCTTGTTTGGTTGAGTAAACAAGTAAGCCACAGTATTTGAAAGGGAAAAACCATGTTGCTTTTTTCAGATGAAAGGAAAGGGTCTTAACCTCAGAAAGTACCAACACCAAACAGTGCTGCTTTCTCTTCCTGGCCCTTCGGTGGTAGGCTCACTAGCTCAGCAAATACTTCTTTCCTTTAGGAAGAGGGAGGGGAAGGTAGGGCAGCCCACATACTGAGTTCAAGAGGATGGACTGCCAAGTTCTTCCTCGGGCAGGACAGATCCACAGCTGACCCACGTGGGTTCTGAGCGAGGAGGGTGTCTGTTGTGTGAGCCTCGCTACTGCTTTCCATCCTTGCTTTCTGTCTCCTCTGGAATAGAAAGTGACTGGAGTGCCTGCAAGAGGGTCATGCACAGTTCAGAAGTGTCTTTCGGGGGTGAAAATTGAGTGACATCAGACTATACTATTCATCCCAACACTTAATTCTTCCCCTGGCACCGAAGCTGATTTCTTAAAAGTATACACTGTTGCTAGAGATGTAACTAACTAACTGCAGCCTTTGTTGTATTGACATCGTAGACACATTAGCTCTGCTAGGTCTGTAAGTCTAATAAAGAAGGTGCTCCAGGTGCCAGCCTGCTCTGGCTGCTATACCCCCTTAATCAGACTGTCTGCCTCTAGGCATGTCTTGCCATTTCCCCAGCCAGTGCCCACCTTTTTAGGAGGTCTTAGTTGATTTGTTAAGGGAGCATGTGATTAGAATTGCTTGGCGGGCCTTGCTATTCTGGTGCAAATGTGTATGTAATGGCTGAGAGATGTTGCTCCTAGGCACAGAGGAGAAAGGAGAGGTGTGCCCCGCTGGAGAACAGGAGCTGTGCCAATGCAGGTAACTAGCAGGGAGCCGAATGGCCCAAGAAGATGGAAACAGGTGCTAGAGGGCTACAGGTATTACACGCTCTGCACCATCCCAAATCACCTTTTCTAGTTACGCATAAATTTCTTCTTGTCCACAGCAGAGGGCGTCACTTGTTTATTGAGTGCCCTGCAGCACACATTAGTTTTGGGCACGTCAAAGTTTATCCCTGAAGTCTCTTTTTGTTCAAATACAGGCAGCGTGAATCTGGTAGTTTTCTCCATTTGGTCCTAAATCTGAAGGGGTTGACTGACTCCCGCCTCGAGCATAAATCACAGTCTCAACACCTAATTTGTATGTCATTTCCATCTCTGGGGCAGTGAGGCCCCAAGTGTTTGTCTTGTGTGACAACTTACCTCTCTCTAGGGATTCGCACGGTTTTGGGCTCCTGTGACTGGAGGGATGGACTTTAAGATGGTTGGTACTTTCTTCTCTAAAAGGATCCATCATCACCTCTTGGGGAGCGGCGGGCGAGGGTGGAGGGTGCGGGGCGGCTCTTCTATCTTGTCAGCATATTCAGTTGAGGGAATCTTCTTTAACCTAGAAGCACAAGGTGTGTTGGCCTCAAACAGATGAAGACCCAGGGGTTGCAAGTCTCCCGTGCACCGCCTCCTCCCTTGAGATACCTTCTAAGCCCCTCCTGCACGCGTCTGTCCTATTTCTTCCCACGGTCGTGGCCTTAAATTGAAGCGTGTTATTAGAAAGATTCCCATCTGTGATACTGTCACTGAAGTCAGAAAAGCGCTAATTAAGAAAGTTTTAAGAACAAAAAGTACCCACTTGGATAACCTGTTTGCTGCCCTTTAACTTGTGATGTAGTCTCATACCTGCATGTGCAGGACTTGCTCCAGGAGGCACACGGGAACAACTCCCACCACAGTGCTAGTGCTTTTCTGGGGAGTCCCTGTACCCCTACATCTCAGCAATGCCATTCAGGCTAGGGCCAAAGACCACTTAGCCCAGTGATTAACCTGCTTCACTTTGGCCCAAAGATCCCATTTCTGCAGGAGTAGAGCACAGTCACTGAGAGAGGACTCCCTGCCCTGATTTCTGACTCACAGACACTTGGGACATCTGAGTGTCTTCACCATCCTTTCAGAACCTGAGGCAGGTAAGAGGGACCCTTCTGTGACCTGTGGTCTTGGTTCTGACCTGGAAGGCTGTGCCCAGTAGGACAGCTCACTGGCCTGCTTTCAGGGGTCAGCTGCGAGGCTCACTTTTATCTCTGTGACTCCTTGTGCAGTGTAGGCAGCAAGGATCCTCCCTAGTATCTAAGGCAGAGGTTTGGTCAACAGTGCTTAATGCTAAAGAATAACCTTCTGAGGTTTTCCCCCTATTACCTCCCCCCTCCCGTCCCTCACAAACTGATATAAGCAGCATTTTATCAACACGATATAGGGGAAATTTTCTTGTGAGGAAAGAATTTTCATCTCACACGTCATCTCCGGGCACATGGGTTCAGGAGAAGCAGCTGAGTGGAAGAAATGGTAGGTGAAACAGTGTTTCCTGCATTAACTAGGACATCCAACTGTAAGTTGGGAGTAAGCTGTAGGTCTGCCAGTCAGCACCTCCCCCTGCTCCACTGTAAGGTGCTGAGTTGTAAGGCTCCTTCATCGTCAGTGTGGGGCTCACATGCATAGCCCCTCATCACTAACAAATGCACTATTTTACAAGAGAACTATTTTTGTATGTGTTGCCTTCTCTTTGTTCATTACACATCAGAGTTGTTTCTTCATAATATGATTGAGTTTTCTGAACAGTGTCCTTGGAGAATTACACATTTCTCATGGGCCATTTGTCTCATGATATTTAGATACAGCTATTTTTATCCTTTGCAATCCTTCTGCCTCTTAAGTGCAAAAATTACGAGAGGTGGGAAGGATATTTTTAGCACCTGTTTCAGAAGATCTGAGCCAGGAATCGCTTTGCACACCAAGAACTGGGGCTTGGAGCACATCTTTCTCCACACCAGTTCTCGTGCCTTACACTCCAGAGTGTCCCGTGGTGGGTGGAGACAGGAGGGAGGCAAAGGTAACTCCATTTCAGGCTGAGGGTTCCTTCACCCGCTCACCTCTCCTTCCCCAGAGCAGGTGGGTGTGGGTAGAGGCTGCCCCAGCTCGTCTCAGTGAGGGTTCCCCAGCAGCACACTCACACCTTCCTCTCCGGTCAACTCTCAGGATGTGTCAAAGCACCACTGCAATGACTGTCGAGTGCATTAGCTCACTATCCGCATCTGTAACTGTGCAGTCTGTCCCGCCCCCTTCCTGTCCCTTTGTTGTGTAGCGTTAGCATGTGGTCCTGAAGCCATTTGAGGAACTTAGGTAAACGGGATCTTCTCTCAAGGGCCCTGGTGACAGGCACAGGGTGACCGAGCCTTTCTGCCTCCATGAACACGTTATCAACGTTGTGCACTGTATTTCTATCAAGCCAGACTTCAATTAAGTTTTTCTTTTCATATTACCAGGTTTATAAATGAATAAACAGACACTTTAATTACTCTTACCATGTCCATGAAATATTCATCTGTATGTGTTTGCCATCACAAAAGACAACATCACACGTAAAACCATTGATTCCTGTGTTGCCAAGTGTAAAACAGAATGTGGAAACCGAGGGGCAGTAGGTACAGGCGTTGTGTCCCCTCCCTGCAGTGCTGGCCTGGCTGGAGAGAGAAGCCTCCGTTCCTCCTGAAGTGCCTGCCGGTCACTGGGCTCGACATCCTGCCTTACAACTGACTTCACACTAGAAGCCTGGCACTTGATGTGTCACTCACGTGCCTGTGAGCCCATGTTTATGTGGAAACAGGGCGTGTGTGTGCGTTCTTGGTCACACCCGTGGGAAGAGAAGATGATATGAGAGAAGCAGCCAGCAACCTTTTACTAGACTCAGCTACCATCAGAATGTAGTCACTGGACTTTATTTTTACTCTGTTTATCCAACTACTCTCTGAGGAACCGCATCTGGGAATCCATAGGTAACAGGTCTGTAACAATTCATCTTATATTCTACACCACCTCCTTTAATATCCAGTTTCATTATTGACCAACATTTTTTACAACACATAGAACATCCCACAGGCTAGGTGGCTGACTCCAAAAAAGGAGTTCCAGAAGTGAAATATATAGGAAATGGCCCCGGAAAACCTTAATATCACAAGAATTATACCATCTGAAAAGGATCTGGAATGATGATTGAATCTCCTCATTTTAAAAACAGAAAACAAAGCTTGGCCGGTGTGGCTCAGTGGTTGATCACTCAACCCATGATCCAGGAGGTCAAGGTTCAATTCCTGGTCTCGGCACATGCCAGGGTTGTGGGTTCAATCCCTAGTAGGGGGTGTGCAGGAGGCAGCCAATCAGTGATTCTCTCTCATCATTGATGTTTTATCTCTCCCTCTCCCTCCCTCTCTGAAATCAATAAAACATTTTTAAAATAAAATAAAAATAGGGAAACAAAGACAGCTCAAAAGCAAAATGACTTGCCCAAAGTAAAACTGACTAGTGGCAGAGCCCAAACTACAACTCAGGTCTGAATGACCACTCACCAGGCCAGCTCCTGGGGACCACACACAGTCCCAGGAACAGAGTCTGGGGACGGGCACAGCAGAAAATGGCAGACCCCTGCTTACCTGTTTGGATCCCTGTTTCTTGCTCTAGCTGCTGGTACAGTTTGTTTGAATAGTCTGCCATCTTCTGCTCAATGCCCAAGTGCCTGGCAGTGCTTATGATGCCTACACAGAACCTCGTAGAGCCAGCAGCCAGCCTGTAGGATGGATCACATACCTATGAATGCAGCCAGTTCAAGTCCCAACTGCAGCACTGTTCTGTCTGTCGAAAGATGGAAACACCTACATGGCTGTCGACATGACACTGATTTCAAATTTTGGAGTTCACCTACACAGTGGGATACTATACAGCCATGAAAAAGGAATGAGCGCCATACCCGGTTTGGGTCCGTGGAGAGTCAGCCTGCAGACCAAAAATTTCCAGGTTCAATTCCGGTCAAGGGCAGGTACCTTGGTTGCAGGCTCTTCCCCAGCCTGGGGTCCTGGTGCAGGAGGCAACCAATTGATGTATCTCTCTCACATAGATATTTCTCTCCGTCTTTCCCTCTCTTCCACTCTCCCTAAAATCAATGGAAAAATGCCCTCAACTGAAGATTAACAACAACAACCAAAAAATTAAAAACATTTTTTTTAAAAAAGGGAATGAGAAAGTTTATATGCTACAATGTGGAATAATCCTATTGAGAAAAGGCAAGAAACAGTAAGGAATGCTACCGCTTGTATAAATGAATGAACACCCATTTACACCAGTACACACTGACGAACACACGTCTGTTTCTATGTGGAGAAAGCATCTGGATCAATACACCAGGAATTTACTTGCCTCCAGTGAGGGAAACTTGAGGCCAGAGGTCAGAGATGGGGGAGAAATTTTCCCTGGACACTTACAGAATTTTCTATTCTGACTCATGTGAATCTACTGCCTTTCAAGAAATAATAAATTCCTTTAAATGTCCAATTTGTTATAGGCAAAAGCCTGAAACAGATAAGAACACTAGTGGTAAAATGAATTTCAAAAAATCTATGAACTGCCTGGCTGACGTGGCTCGGTGGTTGAGCATCGACCTGTGAACCAAGAGGTCATGGTTCGATTCCCAGTCAGGGCTCATGCCCAGGTTGCAGGCTCAAACTCCAGTGTGGGGCATGCAGGAGGCAGCCAATCAATGATTCTCTCTCATCACTGATGTTTCTATCTCTCTCTCTCCCTCTTCCTTTTTCTCTGAAATCAATAAAGATATTTTTAAAATACACACAAAATCACTATGAACTATAGTTAACAATAACGTGTCAATGTTGGTTCATTAGTGAGACAGTAACATTAATACTGGGATGTTAATAACAAATAAAACTGGAGGTAAGTTATGGGAACTTCCTCCTGTCTTCTCAATTGTTCTGTAAATTTAAAACTCTTTCAAAACAAGTTACTTAAATGAAAAACAAAAAACAAATAGAGCAGGATGCAGGCAATTTCATTCTGACTCCTAGAGGGAGCTCTTGGCCCCAGGATTTGTGTTGCTGCCTGACTATGAGAAGGAGAACAGATGGCAAGATGTGCTCTGAACGTGAATAAACACATGCTTCAGACACTTGGTTTGCGGGACTCTGCCAGCTCTCCAAAACCAGGAAAC